GAGCCACTATTCATAATCAGCAGTGATGTGTAGAAAAGGGATTTAGCTCTGATTCATCTAAGAAATATCTCTCTCTCTCTCTCTCTCTCTCTCTCTCTCTCACACACACACACACACACACACACACACACACACACACTTTATAACCTCCTTCATATAACTTTCTCACATTTCTTTTCTCTCTATGACTTTTTCATTTGCTCAGTCTTCAATGCACAGCACAATCATAACTATACCTTAATTTACTCCAAGGACTTCTATGTCTTTTAACAATGGAATTGTACTTCTACTAATAACATGTCAGAACACTTATTTAAAGACAATTTACAATTCACTATGTGTCTTAAATTTTTCATTGCATAACTATTGCCAGATAACAAAAGATAAAGGATTTTACACCATTTTCAAGTCATTTTATAGTCCTATATTTACAAAGATTTTTTTTTTTATTATTCCTACATCCATGTATCAGGTTCTGGACTTTTCTAGAAAACTCAATAGTGGCTGAATAGTTTTAATACACAGGCTTTCCCTTTTTCTCAAATTTGTTTATTTCTGAATATTCAGTGAAATGAGATAACTGCATTTTCCCATTCCTTCCATTCTCTCCATTAATTATACCAAAATAAACATATATAAGAGTGTTCTAATAAGTCAATGGTTTTATTTTAACTCTTTCCAAATAGTCTTCACCTTAAAGTACTTAAAGTATGGTCTTTTTGCATTTATTGCACTTCATTTCAGAGCATACTCATGGAAGACATGGAAAAGAAAAATGCCACATTGCTGACAGAGTTTGTTCTCACAGGACTTCCTCATCACCAAGACTGGAAAGTCCTCCTGTTCCTGGTATTCCTGGTGATATACCTCACCACCATGGTGGGCAACCTTGGTCTGATTGTTCTCATATGGAAGGACCATCACCTTCACATTCCCATGTACTTTTTCCTTGGGAGTTTAGCTTTTGTTGATGCTTGGTTGTCATCCACAGTTACACCCAAAATGCTGGCCAATTTGTTAGTCAAAAGCAAGATCTCTCTCTCTGAATGTATGATTCAATTTTTTTCCTTTGGAATCAGTGCAACCACAGAATGTTTTCTCTTGGCAGCAATGGCTTATGATCGCTATGTAGCCATATGCAAACCATTACTTTATCCAGTGATAATAACCCATAGACTATGCATTAGGCTCTTAACTTTGTCATTTATAGGTGGCTTTTTTCATGCCTTACTTCATGAAAGTTTTTTGTTCAGATTAACCTTCTGTAATTCCAATATAATATATCACTTTTATTGTGACATTATACCATTGTTTAAGATTTCATGTACTGATCCCTCCATTAATATTCTAATGCTTTTTATATTCTCTGGTTCAATTCAAGTATTCACCATTATGGTTGTTCTTGTCTCTTATACATTTGTTCTACTAACAATCTTAAAAAAGAAGTCTATCAAAAGCATAAAGAAAGCCTTTTCTACCTGTGGAGCTCATCTCTTATCTGTGTCTTTATATTATGGTACTCTTCTCTTCATGTATGTGCGCCCTGCGTCTCCACAAGCAGATGAGCAAGACATGATGGACTCTTTGTTTTACACAGTCATAATTCCTGTGTTAAATCCAATTATCTACAGTCTCAGAAATAAGCAAGTCATAGATTCACTAACAAAAATATTAAAGAGAAATTTTTAGATCTCATATTATCATCTTTTCTCCATTTAGTATAAAACTGTCATAGAATATTTCCAATTACATATTTCTTTATTTTGGAATTGCCCCAGACTTTTGCAATTATAATTCTCCTGTCTTTTATTTTATTCAATTAAATCAAATCTTTTATCATTTTCTAGGACTTGAAGTGCTATACCTAATAAAATTCTTGAAATATTAGTATCTTTTCAATTTGAAAACATTCAAAGAATGAATGAAGACATTTTACTGGATTACTGTTCTTGTTACTGTGACTTGATTGATGTAATAGCTGCTCAAAAGTAGTGCAATTCATTTCAAAATTACCTGAGGGGTTATATAATACACCTGACAGTGTGTTCAGACTAGAAATTCATATCAGATTTACTCTATTGTGTTGACAGTTCGTGTTACTAAAGAGATGAGCAGATAAAAATTGCAAAAAAATATTTTAACATATTTTGAAGGGGAAAAAACAAAATTCTAATGTAATTATTAAAAATTTTGACAGTGAAGGCAAAGTGAAACTCCAAGAGAATGTTCTTAGCTCAGTCTGTTTCTATGAGTGAGAAGAAGTGACTTGCCTCTCATTGTCTATAATGTCTTCAATGGTCTTTTGCAGCATTATTTGCGTGAATAACAGACAAAGTAAAAATTTTCAATAATTCAAAAAACTAATAGATGAGCTTGAAGATTTGGTGTGTATGTGAAGAAGGTGAGAGACACAATAGGAAGAAAATTCAGGAAAAAAATGAAATAGGAAGAGAAAATCAGCAATATCTCAAAAGTTATTAGAATGTAAAAATCATATTTGTTTAAATTAATATGACCATGGCTTTAAATGAATATTATCAAAGTTAAAATAATGTTAAGAGAGGACATCATAGTTTTCAGTGATTGTCTAGGAAAAATGGGAAAATGATCACACTTAGATACTTTGTGCCTGAAATTTGTTACATGCTAACTTTCCTCAGACTTCACATTTTCAAATATAATGAGTGCACTAACTTTATGCTCACTCTGCCTTTCCTTTCAATACTGAAATTTCATTTATATTCTAACCAATAGCAATCAGGATCTCACTCTAAAAGTTACTCACCTATGTGTTATTCAAAATTCTATTTACTTATATTCTCCTCCCTGATTATATGGTTATATTTCCCAAACATTGTTGCCAGATGGTGCTTTCTTTTCAGACCTCTGATAAAAATCACATTCTTCTTAAATAACTTTTCATAAATTGTCACCCTCCCAGATTTTATACATATGTGGCATATATTTTTGGATCTAAATATGTTAATATGAACATATATAGTTGTGTGCAAATGTCCACGTATATGTACAGATGGTACAATATTCTTTCACTAGTGTTTGCTCACCCTGAATTTTAGAAGATCTTTTCCAAAAAGACCTTAATATGCTTCTGGATCTTCCCCCTCTGAAGTTCTAATGGTACCTGTATTATCACTAAAATGTGTTAATGAAAACCTTCTGGCCACACCTTACTCTCAGGTCTATATTTTTGCTCAGGCATATGTTTTGGCTGCATAGAGAATTCATTGATACTGCAACATCCCTTAATTCATTTGCAATTGAAGTGTTATTATTTCCTAAAGTTTACCTCAAATGTTACCACTCCCACGAAAATGGTATTGTTGCTCTCAAAATGACCTAAGGATATAATATAATACAGGATATTTATAATACAGCTAGGAATATTGTCCATGAAGTGTTTTCTATTTACCTAGAAGAAGAGTTGATATTTCTTATTCACTGGATCAATCAGCACACATGCATTCCTATAATGGTCTAGTGTGATATCTTCTGGAAGGTAAAAGCAATTCGTGTCACAAATATTTTCAAATTATTTATCTGATAAAATATTTCTTTATGTGTAGGATCCATGACAAGTTCTCAGAATATATAAAATAAATTTTAAAACACAATTAAAAATAGCCAAAACTTAAAGAGACAACTCACCAAAGATATATATGCATATCAAATAAGGACATAAAGACATGCTGAACATCATTAGTCATCTTATCAAATAAGGACATAAAGACATGCTGAACATCATTAGTCATATGTGCAAATTGTACAAGCTTCAAGGATATATCACAATTTACATATTGAAATTAGTACAGTTAAAAGATTATCCATGCTGGAATTAGTAATGAAGAATTTTATTAATCAAAAATAGTCAACAAAATGAGTGAAGAATTATTTCCACATTTTTAAGAAAACTGTTAATTTCAACCAAATTATGTTTAGGCTAAGAGCTACCTGTGCACATCATTTTCTTTTCTCCATGTTTGTGCAGAGTATTCATAGAGCTTTTCTATACTTTTTTTTTTCTACACATTTCTTTTTCACTAGCAAAACTCTAAGCTAGTTCATTGATTAATGAAGCTTCCAAAAAAAAAAAAGGAAAAAAATGGCCTTCTTTTTGTCCTTTCTTGCCAGTAGTGGTCAAGTTAAAATAACAACAGCAAACTGTCATTATATAGGTATTTACATACAACCATTCAGATATTAAATCTAAATGCCCTAAGTAGTGTTTTTTTTCTGAATGAATATTCATTCTTCAACTCTCTCCAAACAGTTTCTGTAAATCATACTACAATAAAACCTATGAAGGGAACAATTTAAGTGTATGGTTCTGTTTTAACTCTAATATTTTCACTTCATAAATATTTAAGGTATGTCTCTTCTACATTCACTTCACTTCATTCTAGGAAATTTCCAGTGAGGACATGGAAAGAGCAAATGCAATTTTGCTGACATGTTGCTCTCATAGGACTTCCACAGCAATCACAGAGGAAACTCCCCCTGTTCTTTGTGTTCTTGGTAATCTAGCTTGTCATGGTTCAGAGGAACATACATCCTCCTCTGATAGGATCATCACCTACACATCCCCATGTACTTTTTTCTTGAGAATTTAGCCTTTGTGGATGGTTGGATATTATCAAACGTGATCCCAATGATGATGGTCAACTTACTAGACAAGAGAAAAATGATCTGTCTTTCAGAACACCTGATAAATTATTTTTCCATTGCAGTCAGTATAACATTTCCTCTTGACAGCAATGATTTATGATTGCAATGTTGCTACAGGCCATCCTTTAGAGTATCCTGTGATTATGACCAATAGACTGTGTGATTTTATCATTAGTAGGTGATATTCTTTGTGACATATTTCCAAAATAATTTTATTCAGATTAATCTTTTGTAATTCCCTCAAAATACATAACTTTTACTATGAAATTATATCATAACTAAAAATTTTCTGTACTGAGACTGCTATTTATTATCTACTAAGTTTTATTTTTTTCTGGTTCCATAGAGTTTGCTAGCACTGTGACTAATTTCTTAAAAGTTTGATCTCACTACAATTTTGAAAAAGAAGAATGAAAAGCCCTCTCCAGCATCTCTTTTCTGTATCTTTATACTGTGTCCCCCTTCTCTTCATGTATGTGCATCCCGCATCTTCACAATCAAATGATCAGGAGAGTATCTTCTATTCTACACTGTCATAATTTTCATATTAAATCCCATTATCAACAGCCTAAGAAACAAGCAAGTCACAGATGTACTGATAAAAATGTTGAGAATAAGTGTTTAGATCTTATTAATATCTAGTCTTATTTATTAAAGCAATCATAAAATTAAAGAATTATGTTCTGGTACTATTGAAAGATTTATGCAATTATAATCATTTCTAGATGTTAATGAATTGAGTTCTTGGTATCTAATTAAATCCTAACACCTTCTGCATATCTCATATTAGACATAGAATTTTAATAAAGTATTTATATCATACTGAAATAATTAAAGCAGACACAAGTGAAAGCATTTTATAGTTTCTGTGTTCTTCAATTATAAATCATTGTGTACTAAAATAGTGTACTTCCTCTCAAAAGGACTTAGAAATAATATTTGATACAGTAATAGTGCTATATAGTTTGGACTCATATCACATTCACTCCATAGTGATAGCAGATTGTGTTTGAGCAAGTGAAAGGAAACATCCCCTAATTTTTAAATTTATTCTTAATTGAGGTTATTATGAACTGCATAGTTTTTCTTATTTCTTTCTCAGAAGATTCATTATTAGAGTAAAGGAATGTTATTGATTCATATGTTGATCTTTCATTCTGCTGCTTTGCTGAATTTGTTTATCAGCTCTAAAAGTCTTATGGCTGAGTTTTTTGGGTCTTCTAGATAGAGGATCATGTAATCAGTAAAGAGATAATCTGACTTCTTCTTTTCCTATTTATATCCTATTAATCATTATCCTATTCTTGCCTAATTGCTCTGTCTAGAATTTCAAGGACTATGTTGAATAGGAATTGTCAAAGTAGAAATACTTGCCTTGTTCCTGATTCTGGAGGAAATGTTTTCAACTTTTCATAATTCATTATGATATTGGCTGTGGGTTTGTCATGGATAACCTTTACTATTTTGAAGTAGGTTTCTCATTTCTCTAGTATTTTTAAAATGAATTGGTGCTAGATTTTTTTCAAATAGTTTTTCTGCATATATTGAGATAATTATGTGATTCATGTTCTTAGTTCTATTTATTTGGTGAATTACATTTATTGGTTTGAGTACTTTGAACCAACTTTGAATCCCTGTGATAAAACCTACTTAATCATCGTGTACTATCTTCTTAATGTGTTTCTGAATGCAATTCATGATATTTTATTAAGGATTTTTCATCTATGTTCATCAGAGATACTGGTCTGTAATTTTCACTTCTTGATGAATCTTTGGTTTTGGTATCATAACTTCATAGAATGTATTTGGAAGTGTTTCTTCCTTTCAATTTCATAGAATAATTTGAGAAAGACCTGTGTTACTTCTTCTTTAAAGGTCTGGTAGAACTCAGCTGAGAATCTATCCAGTCTTGGGCTATGTTTTTTTAAAAGGTTTTTAATTGCTGTTTAATTGTTTTACTTGATATTGGTATATTTAAGTTTTCTATATCATCCTGGTTCAATTTC